TGTGGCCAGGAGCGCTACCCCACCAGAGCTGAACGAAAGCAAAAAAAAAAAACAACAACAAAAAAACAAAAAAACAACAACAATGCAAAACAAGTCATCATCTATTAGCCCATTGCCTCGTAATTCATGTTCATCAGGGCCTCCTCTAACATGTAAACGGGGGGGGGGGGGCAGTGACGCCACTGCCTTATATGGCCTTGCCACTGCCCCTTCACCCAGTGGAGCTGAAATCGCGTCACTCGCGTCGCAAATAACTCCCGTAAAAGTGGCCCATGCCGGCAAAACTTTTAGTTCTAGTATGTTCGAGATAATAAAAATAATGTACCATTTCAATACTATTTTCAAGTAAATCTAATATTTTCGAGATAATCTATAACAAACGTTTCTTCAAAACGTAATTGCGCTGACTCTCATTACCATTGATCTGTGGTCTGCTTCGAGACCTTGTCAGGCCGGAATCGCGATTCGCCGAATGTTAGCGCACATTATCTACGCGATTCCAGTCTTTTTTTGTGTCTTCTGAAGGTGCCAAAATGCGAAATGAGTGTAGTCCCATGTATTATAGCGAGTGCCAACGACACGGAAAGGTCAGGTCAAGGTCATTAACCTTAAATGACACATTAGTTCACTTTTTGGAGTTGATGTCGAATCTATCACCTATTTGAACATTTGAGAAGTGTTCTGGTGCCAGTGCATCCACGTTATGAAGTTGTCACGGGTGGTCAACACCTCTCTCGCTAACCGGCGGGAAACCCTGGCACTAAGTGGCAACCTACTATTTGAAATGACCGGGCTTGAGTCAGGCTGCCCTTAATGCTAAAAAGGGATTCAGTTTCAACGTAGAATTTTGTGCTGGAGCCTAGATAACATTTAAAGGAAAAGGGCCACCTTTAACATGGGGATTGAAACTGAGATAGCCATCTTGTAGCCCGTGTCCGAAAATCTATTTGTTTACCTCCTTACGGCCGATTTCGGCCTCCATTCGTAGTTATCGGCAATTTTAAAAGAAAATACGCCAGGAATGCGTCCTTATCCCAGGAATGCGTTCTTATCCGACAATACAGCCACCCGCGGCGAGGCTTTGGTTTTTTACCAATCAGCTCCAACCAGCTCAGCTTTAACCCGCGCGGGGCTGGGGGGGTAAATTTTACCCCCCCTCGCGAATTTTTGCGATATCTCAAAAACGGCGGCGCGCAGCGCCGCCAAACTTTCAGTACCTTTTCTTTGATCAATTTGACACGTTCCCTGAAAATTTGAGCGAAATCCGTCGGAAAATTTTTGAGAAATTGACGTTTTAGTGACGTCATGTTCGCCATTTTCGCCTCAAAAACGGCAAGAGTTCAAACGCCGCTAACATCTTCATTTTTAAAGGAATCAAGACGTAACAAAAAGGTTATACGTAATTTTACTTTGTCTATCAAATGGCTATCTCGGTTTTTTGAAAATTTTGGATTTTGGCCTAAATTTTTTCAAAAAACTGACTTTTTTGGGAAAATCATTATAAAATCCAAAATTTTGAGTCTATCGAAAAAAACCGGAATATATGTCAGAGAAGTAGTCTATGTGCACCTACATACCAAATTTTAGAAGAATCGGTTCAAAAATGTGGGAGTTATTCAAAATTTTATGACGTCATGACAAACAAAATTTTTAAAAAATGATTTTTTTGGAAGTTCTAGACCTCGTACGGAAACAAAAATAGCACCATTCGATTTGCCGTGAAAAACTGCATCAGATAGACATCTTTTTAGGCCTTAACAACCAACTTCAAAATTTGACCTCACTTGACCTGACCTTGACCTGACCTCGACCTGAAATTCATCCAGAGGTGGTCCATATCACTTATTGAGTGTGCCTATTGAATTCTATGAGTAAAATGACCCATAAAACATGTGTCGCACATGCCCTTTTCTATATTTTGTTTTTTGGTGACCTGACCTGACCTGACCTGACCTTGACCTTGACCTCTGAATGATATTGTATGCAACGAATATTGTCTTGGTAGCCTAAGAACACGTTTTGGGCGATCAGTCTCAGTCCATGACTCCATTCTTCGGCAACTACGGTGCAAGGCCGATACTGTAGAAACTTGCCATTTGTACCCTTGACCTGACCTTGACCTTGACCTCAAACTTTAAATTAAATACATGTTTTTAGTAGTTCGTGATGAGAGCTTTCGATTGGCGTTTGAATTTTCCAAATCGGACCATTAGTTCGGGAGATAACAGGGGGGGGGGGTAAAATTTACCCCCCCCCCCCAGCCCCGCGCGTTCGGCTGGAGACCCCAGCCCCGCGCGGGTTAACCAATCAGCTTATATGACACAATCCGACGAGTCTGTCTTCTGAACGCTGATTGGCTTGAGTGTGACGTCATCGCTATGCCATCATACAGTAGGTGCCGTAGAGAGTATCAACATAGTACCAATATGTTAAATAGTTTTAAATACTTTTTAGCGAATTGTGCACTTCTGGCATCAGTTTTAAAAAGAAAATGAAAAATAATAATGTCAAAATGAAAAACAACGATATCTTCATATTTCACGAAGGTGGCTCTTTTCCTTTAATTCGAATGTTTTTTTAAAGTTTTTTTTTAACCGTTTGGTAGGTAGGCAGAAAGGACAATGTGAAGGGGCTACGCTACAAACTTCAAGCATGGGCCATTCACTGGCAGATTTATTCCAGAAAGGCGACGCTGCGGGGGTGCAAACTGCTTACCCCGAAACAGTTTCTCCATGTTCTAAAAGTTATCGGATTTAAATTCCCTGCTGTCCGGTATAAAACAATTTTTCCTAATAAATGCTTATTTACCATTAATTCTAGAAACCAACTGCATAGTTTTCGTCGATTTCGGGCGCTGCGGGACCCATAATGTTTTTTTGGGGGGCTATGAATGTAAAAATTTCGTTAAAATAGGTCAAAAGTTTTTCGCTTATAACTTTTGATCCAATTAAGATAGAGCAAAAAAGCACCAGTGAACTCAGCACGTCAAGGCGCGTCGAATGAAATACTTTTTTGCTTGCTTAAGTGTGCTTAAAAAGTTGAGCACATCTCAAGTAGGTACAACTTAAAGGTAGTGTGCCAGCTTTCCTGGACCGTATGGAGTTAATGGCCCAGATAAGGAGAACCGGATTTTTATAACTTATCCATACCTTCAAAACTCATGGAAACGTCTTAAATTCTTCAAATTTTGAGTACCCCAGTGCGAAATTCGCCCCGACGGGTTGTCGGTCGTACCCCAACCACATTTCACACCACTATGAACAATAAATGCACACACTGAAATCGCTATTACCGATATGCTCATCCAATCAAGTTTCGATAAACCCGTTCATCATCAGCTCCTGCGGTTTCGAACACGCCTGTTAGGTGGTGCGGTAGACCGCGCCCAAAGCCAAGGCCCCGGTAACGTGAGGTAGCCGAGTCAGGGCAGCGTGTGCTGATCCAAGCCGGAGCCGCGCGTCCTCCCGGTGTCATGTGATAGCCCGGGGCTGCCCGCGGGGATGCGGTAGACCGCGCCCAAAGCTGCGGCCCCGGCTTGGGTCAGCGCACGCTGCCCCGACTCGGCTACCTCACGTTACCGGGGCCCTGGCTTTGGGCGCGGCGGGCGCGGCTTCTGCTCATACTTTGTGGTGCGTCGGGCTGCGCGCTCTGACTTTTCGGCCAAGAAAAATGCGTCAGCTGCAGGGTTGTGCTTGACTCATGAGTCGAGTCAGAGATTTGACTCAACTCTGACTCAGATGAGTCAGGTTTGAGTCGAGTCGGATAAAATGTTGAGCTGTTGAGTTGAGTCAGAGTTGAGTCAGACAAAAAAAATAAGGTGTTGAGTTGAGTCAGAGTTGAGTCAGTAAAATAACTTTTGACATTGAGTTGAGTCAAAAACATTTAGGAACATGAGTCAGCTGACTCATCTTTCTAGAAACAATATTTTAGCTTTTCATTCTCCCCCCGCGTAACAACTTAGGCCTGGCCCTGTTGCCGGATCTTTTTTATTCACCCCCCCCCCGCTCAACAACTTTTTTATCTGAGTCAATTTTGAGTCAACACACTTGACTCAACAAGAAATTTGAGTCAAGTTTGAGTCAACTCATATTTTCATTGAGCCGCTTGAGTCATGAGTCGAGTCAAGGGAAAAAATCAGCTCCTTGTTTGAGTCAGAGTTGAGTCAGGGCTTTCTGAAGTTGAATGATGAGTCGAGTCGGCAAATTTTTTTGAGTCGAGCACAACCCTGGTCAGCTGATCATTGTCATTTCTGCCACTTGCGTGTGGTGAAATGGGGTCATAACTTATGAGACGGCTTTTTCATATCAATTATTTTACATAAAATCATATTTCAAACCATAAATAATGTTCGACAGCCAAATAAAAGAAACAATACCAATACAGGCTTACAGTTTAAGGCTCGACATTGTGTTGTCTACGATTAGACAGCTGATAACTCATTCCCGTACGTCGTACGGTCGTAACACTATAATGACCTTTGCTTATTGTCACATGTGCGCCGCATTCGCGATTGTTGCCGACGCTTGGCCGACGCCTGTTTGCAGGTGAGCCCACTACAGTTGTTATACATATCGAAAAACCGATAAACTTTTAGGCGAAAAAGGCACTATTCCAGGCCCATTTTTGATTTTTTTTTTTTGCGATATTAGGTAAAAACAGAAGCTTCTTATCCTAGGAAAAATAAAATGGGAAATCTTTCAAAGGTGGCACACTACCTTTAAAGGGACACTCCCACCTTAACATTAGTTTTGAGTTGAGATAGCCAAATTGGTGGCCATGGCCTGCAAATACCGGTTTGGGCACTCACAACATCGACAAATGCTTTAATTCGGAGATATGGAATTTCAAACTTGCAGTTTTCGGATTCTAAGGGGCTAGTGCATTGGTATGCCCCCTTAGAATTTGTGACGTCAGCGGAGATCTAACGATTTTTAAATCTTTTACTAAAACGTTTGGTAGCACGCGGTGGTATATGCTGCTTTGCGCGCAACAAATGCCGCACTTTCAAATAAAGTCGCTAGGAACAGCGGAGATCCCAAAAAGTAAACAAAAGTAAAAGTCTAATATCTTGAAAACCGGTGAATATTTTTCGGTGAAATTTGGTAGATATTCGTTTTCGCTCTTTCTGAACCGAGCGACATCACTTTCGTGCCAATTCATTAACTTTTTTGAAGGTGGGAGGGTCCCTTTAAGCCTCTGTCCCCCTCCCCCGTGAAAATTCATTAGAGGAGGCCCTGATGTGCACGCAGCTCGTGTCACCTTTGGCGTGCGCCGTGTCCACCGTTTGTCACCCGCGCCCCCTCTGCCCGGCAGTCGCTCAGTCTCCTGGCGCTGGTGGCTCTGGTCGCCGCCTGCTGCGCGTCTCCGCAGGGCATCACGTTTGGTGGCGCCGCCCAGCGGACGGCCACCAGACAGAGGTTCCGGCAGCGACCGCGGGGCGGCGCCACCACCGACACCCGGATCGGGCTGGTGGGCGGCCAGCTGGGGAACCTGGACCCGGTGCCGGGCTCCGACTACCCGTCGCGGATCGCCAACGGGAACCAGCAGCCGGCGCAGACCAGCCAGCAGCTGCTGCAGCAGCCCGACAACGGTCAGTGGTGCCGGCAACGGCTGCACGCGCGGGGGGTGCATTTACGGGCCCGGTTATTAGCTGACACCTGCCGATCTCTAGCTAGTGATGATGAGTGACTTAAATAGGGCGTTACATGCTCTAGAGCTCCGAAGTGTGATAGCCAGTGGAAAGGACAGCATCGTAGAAAAGACATAAGCGGGAGGGGGAAAATGGACAGGTAGAGGTAGAGAACACGAAGGGTACACGGAAGGGGACATGGATGGGCACGTAGCGAACACGGAGGGCACACGGAGGGCACACGAGGGAACACGGAGGGAACACGGAGGGAACATTATAGTGGGAGGTAGGAATTTAGAATTGAAACAGTTGAGGAAGCAGCTGAGATGTATCCGGCGACCGAAAATGAGACTCCCAACGGGAATGGTCAGCGGCAGGTGGCGGCAGCCGCAGTCGCTAGTTGGTCCACGATTCCGTCTATGCTGAACTTGGGCACTAACTAATAGCCATCCTCCCAGAATCTCGGAATTTCCCGATTGGACGGTGGAGGTCGGTCCGTGCATCAAGCTCTGCTTACCGTGGCCTATGATCAATCCGTTTATTCAACCTAATCGAGATGTAATAGTGCCTAAGTAACTAGCCCTCTCCTGTCTCATTGTGTAAGCCACAGCGTGGCTGAAGCATGTCGGCCGAAACATGATTCAAATACCGAGTGGCCACGTAGCGCGGAACTCCTTATGTCGACGGCGATCCAGTCGTAGCTGCTCAGTCTCAGAGCGGTTTGTGGTCATTACTCGCACCATCAGACATCCATTGCGATCGACGCGACTCGCAGGCAGGTCCGTTCAACTGAGAATGTTGGTGTGCGATATCCGCCATGGGGTAAAACCGGAGGTAGGTATGCGGCCAATGAGTTACGAGCGCGATTTGATCTCGACCCCACTATAGACTTGGACATATGTTCCGGTCACAGCGCTGTCATAATTTGTCTTTTTCTCTAAAACTCTGTTATTGGCTGCTGTTCACATCTGTGACGTCGAAATCAACCATGTGACGTCATTAAGGTGACAAATTGTAGCTTTTTTATTTTATCAAAAGGGAGATGCCAAGTCAATTGGAGGCAACGTTTTGTGATTATCGCATCCTAGCAGCTCGTGATAGCAGAAATTTGAGCCTACGCATTATAATCAGGGACGCGGAGCCGTGGAAATTTCAGACGGCTCCGGCTCCGGCTCCGGCTCCGGCTCCGGGTGAAATGCCATGGCGGCTCCGGCTCCGGCTCCGGCTCCGAGTAAAATGGTCCGGCTCCGGCGGCTCCGACTCCGGCTCCAATGCTCAGTAGTCAGTACATCCCCTATGCAATTAAATACGGGTGGATGAAAAGAGACGATGGGATTGGTGCTCGTTGCTTCTGTATTTGCACAAGGCTATTTTCATATTCTGAATACCGCATGTTTTACTGCCTTGAGCTGTCAAACCGAACTAGGTCAATAATTTTTTCCTCTTGAAAACAAGGAGCCGTAGTCGCCCCTTTCTTTGACGGCTCCGGCTCCGGCCCCGGCTCCGGGCTATATTGTTTCACGGCTCCGGCTCCGGCTCCGGCTCCGCACCCCTGATTATAATTATACTTGATTGTAATAAGAATGAAAAATAACATTTTGCTCATTAGAGATAAGATATACCTTTAACATGATCAGTTGAGAAAAGAGAAAATAGGGACATTCCACGATAGATTGACAAAAAAAAATTGACACCCACATATTATTTTATTTTTCGTTTTTATCTACATTGCATTGGCCTTGCGTGGATGTCATCAAGAGAAATATTTTGGCTGGTCAGGGGTTGTGATGGGCGGGGAAACCAATTGTGGCAAGGATTTTTTTCTTCGAACAGCGGTTTCCGAGATATAGCCTCGGGCAATTCCTGGAGGTCACGCTGCAACCCTATCTTTGGCGGCTTATAACTCAAACTATTGGCATGGATGAGATAACACATCCTAACCTGAGGTCAACGCAGGCCGAAAGCCACTTTTTTATTATCGCATATGAATGCAAATTGATGAGGCTTTTATCGTCATCAGACAAAATTGCGACTTTCATGATAGTGGGGGAAAGTATCAAGGTCACTTCGAAAAATAGGTCAAGATGTCACGTGATCAAAAATTTTCAAAAATTGAAAATCCGAGATAGCCAACATGTTCGTTGGTTGATTACGAGTTGAACCATATGAGGTTTTTATCATAGAAAACCAACAGTTTCTGAGTTATAGGCCGCCAAAGATAGAGTTGCAGCGTGACCTCCAGGAATTGCCCGAGGCTATATTTCGGAAACCGTTGTTCGAAGAAAACAATCCTTGGCACAGCTGGCTTCCCCGCCCATCACAACCCATTAGACCAATTTTAAGCAAAAAGTAAAATATGACGGTGTACGGCTTTGGTCGATCTATCGTGGAATGCCCCATAGGACGTAGGTACTAGGTAATAGAACATCCTGGAACGGATTTTTCTTGATATTCTGGATATCAACACAAAATAAATAATTTTTAGCAATCTACAAAACATAATAGGACCAGATCTGTTATTTGCTCAAAGAAAAGCTAACAGAACTTTCTTCTACGACGTGGATAGTCTGCGCTGCCGCTACCGACATCTCTGACGCACGTAGCGTCTCGTTTAGCACTCGGCACCAATGCCACCAGTAGTCAGAACTCAGAACGTACCGTGGGCGGACATCAATCCACATACCCGGTACAATGGCGAGCCGATATTCGGACGGATATGCAGCAGAAGGCGCCGGGATAACGGCGCGGCGATCAGACACGCCCGGATCGAACTGCTGAAAACATTACCAATTACTGCCAGCATTCACACGTTCATCGGAACGTAAACATTTAGCGTTTAGAATATTAAATCATTTCGCCTTATGATGGATGTGTGATAAGTTGCGCTGACTATTACCTAGACGTCATTTCGTGGTCCTTGTGTGGATTAGTCCAAGTAAGAGGTGCCCTACCCTGCTGGCCTATCCGGTGAACTTAAAGTGTCGCTTAACCGGCCTCTCCACCGAAAACCTAAATTTAGTGCCACTTTGGCACCCAGATAAATGTCACACAATGCTGCTGGTGGATATTTTCCAACCAATCAAATTTCTTAATTATGCGAATTATTCCGGCGCTGGGAATATAAATGTCAAAAGTGTACCTACTTACCCATTTCCAAATGAGAATCTGACGGGTGTTTTTTCGTTTCAGTATACGACGGGCAGTCGAACGGTCGTGTTTCGAAGAGTAGCGACTGCTACTGTTCCTTGATCGGCGAATGTCCTCACAACGGCGGCTTTGACGGCGCCGGACTGATCGACATCCGAATTGTCAACACCAGGCCGGTGAGAGGCGACAGCGCGCGCCGAGTGCCACTCGCCCCCCTCTTTCTCTCACTCGCCCCCCCTCTCTCTCTCACACTCGCCGCCTCTCTCTCTCTCTCTCTCTCTCTCTCTCTCTCTCCTCCCTCTCTCTCTCTCTCTCCCTCTCTCTCTCTCTCTCTCTCTCTCTCTCTCTCTCTTCCTCTCCTTAGCTCTCCCTCTATAATTTCTCTTGACACGTTTTTGGTACTTTTCTTTGGACAGGTTCATGTGTTATTTTTACCGATTATCGCTTTGTTACGTTAGCGACGCACTCATTTGCTCGCTCACTCATGAACCATTGTTCATTTACCCGCTCCTCACTCGCTCACTTAGGGTAGGGTGGGGTAATTTGAACATGTGGGGCAATTTGAACATAGTGTGAATAACATAAAATTACGGAAAATCCATAAGTGGCATGACAATAAGACCAATGAGAGAAATTATCGTAACTAAAAGGGCTATCATATGAACGGGGTTTAAAGTTTCAGGGAATGAAGATGTTGACGCACAGTGTAAAAAATCAATTTCGCAAGGATAAACGCCTAACAACACGTCATTGCAACTTCATTGCAGCGCAAAATCTTGCATTGCTAGCGCCTAATACGCAACGGCTTTTGTTGTACAATGACCTAATCAGTGCCTTCAATCCAAGAAATTTGCTTTTGAACCCTTTTTTTTAAATTGCAAAATAACTTTTAGCGTGGGGTAATTTGAACATAGTGTGAGAATTTCAATGAAGACAGGGATAGCTCCGAAAAAATAACGCTCCCAGTTTTTTTTTGCCAATATTTTTTACCCAAAGCAGTAGCAGATAAGTGATGCCAGTTTTATAAAATTTACGTCTAATATCCGTCTAATGTCTGGCATTTTCGTTGATTTTCCGTCCAAAAATGTTAAAGTCAACTATTTGTCCAAATATGTCCGAAAATTATGCAGCTATCAACACTCAAAACCAAGGGCGCCGCCACGGATTTTTGACTGGGGGGGACGGACTGACCGACTGAAAACCCAAAAGTAGACATTCTTACCGTGGCTTTTTCGGTCGGATGCATTCAACGTTTAAAGCAAATATGCCACTTTTAACATAGGGTTTTGAACTGAAGTAACAGTTTTGTAGCTGAGACGAGAACAAATCAGGAGCTTTTATGGCCCAACGATCACCCTAGCCAAATATATCGGTATCGATTTTAGGTTTGAAGACTGAAGTCATTCCCATAGATTACACTTTGTCATTCTCTTACCGAGGAATCCATTCCCTTACGGAAAAATGCTAGCCAATCAATCAGCATTCAGCTGGTTTGAACTACGTACTATGCTTGGTCAACGCGTAATCAGCTTCCGCTGCAATATAGGTAAGTAGCCTCTACGAAAGATGGAAAATAGTGATGTAAAAATAAATATAAAATCCTTTTGCAAATATTCATTATTTCCTGACCATTTTAAGATTAAAAACTCATAAAACTGTGGCAAAACAACTGGTTTGAGGAAAGTAGTTAAGGTTAGGTATTTTGGCTATAGACCGCATTCCCACCGAGTACCTACCTATATACACATCTGATGTCCGATTCAGTTTGACACGGCAAAGCCTGGTGCTCTATCACTGTATAATTGCTGATGTATGCCACTAATATGATCGATAATGCATATTGCATAGGTAATGCATATTGCATAGTATACCCGCGTGGGGGAGGGGGCGTTGTATAGTCACAAATCTCTCTTTTTGGTTTGTGCACGAATCGGCGCGAAGCGCCGCGAAAATTGGCAAAAAAACATTAGGCAAAACTGCTCCAAAATACGAATTTTGCAGTCCGTGTATCAAGCTTGATACCATAAAACCTTAGGTCAGGAAAAACAAGTCAAGTAGTCAAGTCGCCTCAAAGTTTTGTGGTCCTGTCAACCGTATAGCTTGTTTCTTAGAAGCTGGAAATTTAGTGTAGCGTGACTGCAGAAGTGTGGGGTCGGAGCCGGAATCAGTCGGAGTTGACTGTTTTGACCAGTTTTGGCCAGAGTCGGAGTTGAAGTCTTCGAAAATGTTCGGATTTTGACTTCGAGGTCGGATTGGTGTAAAGTCATGTTCTTGGCTGGTTAGACGAAATATATTAGGCCCGTGTTCGGCCAGTCGTGTTTACGACACACGTTGATCACGATATAAAAAAAAATCGGCAGTTCCGCGCTGACAGGTCGGATAAGAGCTGGAGATTTTGTTGGCCGAGGTGGCAGGGGTCAGACCAATGCATGTAGGCCCACACCCCATATACTGAGTATCTAAACCTCCTGGACCCCCTCAGATTCGGCACCGGCCGTTCCATCTCTTCCAACCTCAGGATAGTCAAATCCTTCTCCTCCACGCCGCAACCCCATGCTCCGGGCTGGACGGGCAACTCTATCCAATGCGGGAATGGCTCCACTGGAGCTATAGTCCTTTGCCGGGTGCAGTGAGTGCCAGTGGGCTGGGCTGCCTGTTCAAATGGTCGGATTCATCCCAAGTGGCTCACTGGGTGGCTGCCCCGACCAATGTCTCCCACTAATTCTTTCATACTTGCGGCTCTGAAATGGTCTCATTGGACCGAAGGGCCTAATCAAATTTCGAGTAGGATAACAACCAGTAAAACGCCTTTTGGGGCGACCAACGGAGCGAGCGAGAGGGTGGGGTGGGCCTTGCACGTGCGAAATTGCGAGGGGATACCTCCAACTAACTTGTGCACTGCACCCTTCTAACCGGTCCCTAACGATGTGCCAAATTTGAGCGCAATCGGCCTAGCCGTTCTCGAGATCTGGAAGCGGCACCCTGCACGTGCGCACGTGCAAAATGGGTCGCAACTGACTTTTGCATGGCACCCTACTAACCGGTCCCTAACCATGTATCAGATTTCAGCACAATCGGTTCAGCCGTTCTGGAGATCTGTAATCGACCCCTGCACGTGCGCACGTGCAGCCAGCACCCCAACTCTGGCACATGGATATGCATTGCCTAGTGGGTATACCTACCTACATGCTAACTTTCAGCGCAATCGGCCCAGTAGTTGCCGAGATATTGAAATTGTTACAAAACTGACACCTCTTCGTTTTTCACGTGGCACGTGCATATGGGGTCACTCACATGCATCGGGAATAGTCCGATGCTCGTTAGAAGGAATGAATCTAGTGCTACCCTACACAAATTACCGCATGTAAATCGGTCAAATGGTTGCTGAGATATAAGCCTAGCAAAAGCGTGACCACGGCATACTCAGAAATTTCCGTTAACCTACGAAAAACTACGCTCGCTTCGCTCGCTCCGTAATGAGTTTGGGGGGGACGTCCCCCTTCCATTCTGAGAGTGGGGGGACGCGTCCCCCCCGTCCCCCCGGTGGCGGCGCCCATGCTCAAAACCGTCATTTATATTGCTTATCATGTAATTTTACCAGCCGAAAAGTGTTCATTATATTGAGAGCTTAACAAGCTTTCCATTCGCCAATCAATGTTACGCACGATTACTTGATAAAAATGCTTAAGTGTGGCAGGCCATCGTCCAACGTTGTCCAGACTTCTATACCTTTGTGCAATCAATTCTGAATTGGACATTATAAAGAATCGGAACTCCGAATGTCCAGGTTCCGATTGGCACCACTATAACAGATGAAGTAAGGTTTGGTAGAGTTTTTATCGAACGGAGATGATAGACGTTCTGTTAATTGAAGAGAGGCGAATTCTGTCAACTGACCGGTGTGCAGCGTGCAGATATTGATGCTCTGCAACTCTTCTTTTTGTTGTTGTGTTGATTTTTCAAATGATGGTATTTTTAGAATTGCTCTGCCTATTTGTTTATGTGTCAAACAATATCGGTGCTGGCGAGACTATCTTTTTTATGGCAGGTAAAGACAGTATGTTCAAATTACCCCACGGTTGGGCAATTTGAACACACCGTGACTTGGTGGAGAAGTGATGCTATGCTATTCAAGGTATGCTCGGCTCGTCCAAAAATGAGGCTTGCATGGTGCAAGCAAGTGACACATGCGCTACTGAAACAGTTTTCCTTCATCCAGGGTTGAGCTGGAATTTGGTACAACGGAGAAGACGTAAAAATATGTTCAAATTACCCCACACTACCCTACTCATTCAATCGCTCGCTTATTCGCTTAGGGGAAGCGGGGGTAGCACCGCCATGTGGGAAACACCGCCATCCTCTCTATCGGCAAAACTCTGAATTGTAAATGTAAACACCCGCCATTTCGGTGTCCGAACGGAAACGGGACGCCGCGTGAGGTAGGTTTCGCTAATATTTATTTGATTTTGATAAATTTGAGATCGCAATTGCCCATTTTGTGAATTTCAAACCATCGTTGTAATCATTTGGCATGTTTGAGCAGCAAGTAAGTGGTCATTTCAAGTCAAAATGCCTTGATTTTTACGTTAAATTTGAGGGCATGAAGTGTTCTTTGTTGAGAAAGGAATTACAGAAGAATCGCGTCCCGGCTTGCTTTGCTGTCGGGGCGTTGTCGGTCCATGACTGTGAGTGGGGTAACACCGCCATGCTCGGCGGTGCTACCCCAAGGGGTGGCAAAATGGATAAAGCCGCAATGATGATTCACTCAGCTCGGAGAAGAGCTTTAGTTAGGCCGCAAACGTCGTCTGTTTTTTAACCTCACGTTTGACTTCACTGGATGTTTCGAAATAAACGCGAATTTGTCATGCTTTGTATGCATATTGTCCGCAACAAACAGTCTGATCTGTGACAAACTAACAACCAACTCTTGTGTGTCTTATATGAGTTTGAGTTACTATTTCAGACAGCAGTAACGCTTCCAAGGGTGGCTGTCACCGTAAGGCCGATCTGTGGATAACATCGCCATCAGTGGCGGTGCTACCCGCACATTTTTTTGGAGGACGAAAAATGCAGGACTTGTTTTCGACGTCTGTAAAGTAGCGAAATTTTATAATGGAGCGCTGGAAGCTATGCCAACATGTAGGAAAACATTCCTACTTTCACATGAATGCAAAAGAGCTTCGTTTTTACTACGCATATCAGCTCGGTGAGCAGAAATGCTTAAGGTGGCGGTGCTCCCCCCGCTTCCCCTACTCGCTCACTCGTTCACCTGCTAAATTCTGCCGGACTCGCTCAACCAAACGCTCACCCAACCCACTCACTCACTCACTCACTCACTCACTCACTCACTCACTCACCCACTCACCCACTCACTCCCTCACTCACTAACTCTCTGCTGTCAGACGGTGGTGAACGGTCAGCTGCAGTGCAGCAGCGAGTACCAGGAGCTTTGCTGTCCACCCAGCTCCGGCTCCGGCTCCGGCTCCGGCGGCTCCGGCTCCGGTGGTTCCGGACAGCTGGTGTCCGGCTGTCCGGCCGCCGCCGGACACAACCAGTGCGGACAGCGGCAGCTGATCCCGGTGCCCGGCTACACCCTGAAGCCGGCCGAGACGAGCTTCGGCGCCTACCCGTGGGTGGCCACCATCCTGCGCGAGGGCGACGTCTTCATCAGCTCCGGGGTGCTCATCAGCGACCAGTGGGTGCTCACCGTGGCGCACCACGTCAACAAGTACAGCAACAACTACTCCGGCCTCAAGGTCAGTGTTTGCCGAGACATCCCGCCGCGGTACATACTGTATTCTGTACACCGTGCTCCGCAGTCCGCATCCAGCTGCTTGCCGGGCGAGGTGTCCTTTGGATAGACTTTGATGAGAAGAATATATATTTTCACGATATCATTAATAGGTCAAGCATATTTCAAAATGCGCAGGAATCGTCTTTTTGGTAAGCCGATACCATGGACCGGTACATTAGGATTACATCATCGGACTAGCACATAAGGCTTTTTCACCACGTAGGGTTTTTAGCGACCAATGCCGCAGCACACGCAGCACTGAGCTTCAGCTGCCTGAGAAGCCTATCAAATTGTGTCAGTTTAATACGGCCGCGGTGACTTTCTGCAGGGTGACCCGCGCGTGGCTGGCTTTCTCCGCCCGTATCAGTTACCTACTGTCTACGCCACTGTTCTGTAGCACGCCGATCCATTCTGTAGCGTCACCCAGCTCTATTCTGTAGCGTCACCCAGCTCCATTCTGTAGCGTTACCCGTCTCTTACTCTGCTCGCCCCGTCTCGGCAGATCCGGTTCGGTGAGTGGGACGCCAGTGACCCGAACCACGAGCCGTGCGCGCACGAGGAGCGCACCGTGTCGCGTCTGATCGTGCACCCGCAGTTCGACTCTGGCAGTCTGGCGCAGGACGTGGCGCTGCTGCAGCTCTCGCGGCCGGTCTCCGTGTCGGCCTACCCGCACATCGGCGCCGCCTGCCTGCCCGCCGGCGGCCAGAGCTTCGACTACCAGCGCTGCTGGGTGGCCGGCTTCGGCAAGGACGCGTTCGGCCAGGGCGGCCAGTACAGCTTCATCCAGAAGGAGGTGGACGTGCCGGTGGTGCCGCACGACCAGTGCCAGCAACAGCTGCGCCAGACGCGGCTCGGCGCCGGCTTCCGGCTCAACGGTCGGGCCTTCCTCTGCGCCGGCGGCGAGCAGGGCAAGGACTCGTGCGAGGGCGACGGCGGCGCGCCGCTCGTCTGCCAGGGCGGCGACGGCCGCTGGACCGTGGCCGGACTGGTGGCCTGGGGCATCGGCTGCGCGGAGGCCAACCGGCCCGGCGTGTACGTCAACGTGGCATCGTACGTGGACTGGGTGCAGCAGCAGACCGGCTACCTGGGCCGCTGAGCGGGAGCGGCGGCAGTCCCGGACCGCTGAGCGGGAGCACGGACCGGCTGCCTGGGCCGCTGAGCGGGAGCGGCGGCAGACCTGGACCGCTGAGCGGGAGCGGCGGCAGTCCCGGACCGCTGAGCGGGAGCACGGACCGGCTGCCTGGGCCGCTGAGCGGGAGCGGCGGTAGTCCCGGACCGCTGAGCGGGCGCGCAGTGCCGGGGAATCGGCGGTCAGTCGCACCCCGGCAGTGTTCGCCACCGCCAGACCTCGGTACCCCGGCCCGGTCTGAGCTAGCCCGCTTAGTTAGATCTTACAGGCGCAGTGACCGATTTTATAAATAATGCGTACGGCATATGCAACTTCAAACCAAGTGTCTTTATCAGTTGTATAGGCACACTTATCATCCACGATGTTTTTCCTTCATGAGGCTGTATAACATGTATCGGCTGTATAAGGTGAACTTCGCGACACGATTGGCATACGATGATCGTCAGTAGGTACCATAGAGTAGGTACCCATAGTTCGGTGGAACTCGAGATGGGCCGTGCGAGGGCCAGTCCGTTGACTTTTTCAATGTGAATCATTGTCAGTGCAGTACAACACGCAAAACTGCTGATACGGGAAGGTTTTACCTGCTCGCAACTTGACTAATACATTCATAACCGTGTTTTAACAAAAAGCGTCTGATTACGACGAAACCTACAGTATCAGCCATGAATCTTCCCTCGCTTAACCCGCGCCCCATGGTGGGGGAGGCTATTTTTTGCCCCCCCCCCCCTCCAGACTTCTCGATATATCTCCAGAACCGCTGCGCCGATCGTCACCATACTTTCAGTACCCTCCCGGGCATCAATTTTACACATTGTGACTAAAATTTTCCAAAGGCTATGATAGGTTGGCTGCAAATGACGTCAGAGTGACGTCATGTTCTGCCGTTTTCGACCCAAAAAAGGTTTCGCGGGAAGAGCTGTCAGGCCTATAGCTTTGAAGATACAGAAAAATCGCTTAATAAAAAACAGATGTAGAATCACCAGGGCTACAAAATTGCCATCTTAGAATTTTGAATTTTTTGAATTGTTACCCAAAAAAAAAAATAAAAAAATATTGTTTGATATACCTAATTGCCAAACAATCCAACACTTTTTCGATTTTCGAAAAACCAGAATTCCTATATGTGATAGCCCTTATCAACTTCTATTCACATACCAAATTTAACCCGCGCCCCGCTGGGGGGGGGGGGGGCAGAATCTGCCCCCTCCCGTTTTTTTGCCAATAACTTCTAAACGCGTTACGCCAGCGACGTCAATCTTTCAGTACCGTATCATACATCAATTTGACACGTTCCCTGAAAATTTGAGCAAAATCCGTCGGATTTTTTTTTGAGAAATTGACGTTTTAGTGACGTCATGTTCACCATTTTCGCCTCAAAAACGGCAAAATTTCAAACGCCGCTAACATCTTCATTTTTAAGTTGCAGTCGGGGGAGGTTTGGTCAATCAGTGGCCTATAATAGCATAGGGAACTGACGCCCTGTCGCTGATTTTCGACAAAATGCGTTTTACTCGATGTTGTAGCTCATTTCCTAGAAGACCCGTGAACGGTGAAACGTTTTATCTTTGACCTGACCTGTGACGTCAGCGGTGACCCCGAGGTCAATGAAATTGAATTTCCCTCGACAAATTTGACAGGCCTTTCGAGCGCCGTTTGAATTTTGCGGAATTTTACTGATCTGTCCAGTAGTTTCGGAGATACGGGGGGGGGGGCAAAAATGCCCCCCCGCGCGGAAGGTGGACGGGAGGCCCACCGCCCTCCGGGTTAAGAGTGAGTAGTACCTACCTACCTATAACTTTTTCTTGTTTTGTTATTACATCACCAAAAAGATATCTTATCGATTAAAAGTGAATATTATATTAAGTCACCAGGGTATGGTAAGGAGAGGTACTTCGTGACATCCTCAACTTCGTGATTCGCAATTTCTCAGAAATCTGGAAGCTTGCAGCACTGTCAACCATCTCATCCTGTGGGGCTGTGACAGTAGGCGGAGTGACTTTTTTGGTAGGTAAGCAGTTGTCCCTCCTTCGCTTTATATCCCGCGCCGGGCCGGTCGCGGTGCTCCGCGACTTCCGCGTCGGGCCGGGGGGGGGGAGTGTCTGAACACCCCCGTCTAACTCGGCTCCTTGGCCACGTAGCGACACGCGGTAAGCGGCATTCGAAAGAGCGTCAAAAATAATGACGGAAACACTTGGGTCATTTTTCGGGTCAAGTCAAAGGTCAGGTCGCCAGAGGTCATTAAAGGTCAAATGTAGGCAATTTCCAAATTTTGGAAACAGTCAACGGCTAACTCGGGAACCAATAGAGCTACAGCGCCGCAGAAAAGCGCATTCGATAGCCCTTTTACAGACCTTTCTGAATTCTTTTCTCAGATTTGACCTCAAGTCAACGGTTTAGCCTCCAAAGAGCAAAAACTGTAAAAAGAGCCGTTTTCACCAAAAACAGTCTTTCGGTAATAATTTTTGATTCAAGCAAGCCACGACATTACTTTTGCCAGCATCGTGTTCCTCTCGTCGAGACGCGTCGAATGTAATATTTGCTGACCTTGAAAGGTCATGTTAAAAATTTGACCTCAGGTCAAGGTCATGACCTGACCGGAAAGGGTCATGCTGCATATCGGTCGATCCGCATCGTCGAACTGAATATATCTGACGTGTTTTCATCGCTCTAGCACGTCTCTATCAAAAGTTATAGCCATAAGCCAAAAAACTGCTGGTGACCGTTCGTGACCTGAGATGACCTCAGGGACAAATAGGGGTCACAGGTGCATTTTTCCGATTCAGTGTGTCATGTTTACCCATGAACCGATGTTTGAGAAGGTTTTTAACACCATTCGTCCACAAGAGGCGCATTTCAATTTTCTCCTATTGACTTAAAATGGTCGTAAAATTGACCTGACTTTAGGTCACCGATATCAAAATTCTGCGATAAACATTTTGTACATACTGTTACTCTTATCAATCGCTGAAAGTTTCAAGGCGATCACTCAGCCGCTGTAGCTCTGACGAGGATTGAAACCTTTTCTGAGGTGAGATCACTTGACGTAAACTGGTGACCTGACCTTGTAAGCCTTGGGTCTGAAATTTTCACAACATGTGCAGAAAAGATGCGTTAACAGGTGTGCCGAAAACGGCGGCGCCCTGCGCCGCCGTTTTTGAGATATCTGCGAAAAACCGCATGGGGTGTTACAAACGCCCCCCGGCCCGGCGCGCGAAATAGTATAACCTAGTCCTACCAGTATAACGCCTTTTGGGGCGACTAACGGAGCGAGCGAGAGGGTGGGCCTTGCACGTGCGAAATTGCGAGGGGGTACCTCCAACTGACTTGTGCACGGCACCCTGCTAACCGGTCTGTAGCGATGTGCAAAATTTGAGCACAATCGGCCCAGCCGTTCTCGAGATCTGGAAATGACCCCTGCACGTGCGCACGTGCAGCAGCACCCCAACTCTGGCACATGGATATGCAGTGCCTAGTGGGTGCCCACCTACATGCCAACTTTCAGCGCAATCAGCCCAGTAGTTACCGAGATATTGCAACAATTACAAAACTGACACCTCTTCGTTTTGCACGTGGCACCAGAGGCGGATCCAGCTCAGAGGTTTGGGGGGGGGGGGGCAAACCATAAAAATTTATTGATTCTTTCCATGCATCGTCCATAGGCGTAATGTTAAAATCATGCCGTTTGGGGGGGGGCAAATGCCCATTTTGCCCCCCCCCCCCTGGATCCGCCACTGCGTGGCACGTGCATAAGGGTTCATCCACATGCATCGGGAATAGTCCAATACTTGGTAGAAGGAATGAAGCTACCCTACAAAATTACCGCATGTAAATCGGTCAAGTGGTTGCTGAGATATAAGCCTCGCAAAAGCGTCCGCACGGCCGGCCGGCCGGCCGGCCGGCCGCTCATATACGCTCGCTTCGCTCGCTCCGTAAAAATGTATTTTTCGAGGTCTTCTTTTTCTGGGTTCAATTAAACTTGCGAACCTTTCTCAGCTTACCAAATTGAGAATTCACAAGTGGTGTTTGGGTTGCTAGGTCTATATCATGTATGTTAGTGCACGACCTTTTTGTCCCGCTTTCCCTGAACCTTTGTAATGCGGCCTTGGTAATGCTGCCAAATGGAAAATATTGTCCAGATTTATTACATATTGAGACGGGTTACACAGCACATTGGGTGGACGCGTTTCGTCTAAATGACTTTTTCGACACCCTCTCGGAAATCAACCCTATTAGTGGCAGGCTCCTGGCTACCCCATATTAGTGGCAGGGGGGGGGGGGGGCTGTTTACGACCCCCCTTGATATCTCGAGATCTAACGGGCCGATTTTCAAAATTCAAACGGCATTCGATTTGGCTCAACGAGATCTACATTTCTAAAAAAAAATGAAATTAAAAAATGTCAATAGGGGGGTAGAGGGGAGGTAAAAACGGGCAAATTGCAGATACATTTTAGACTGTTCATCACGGCCAGGTTTCTGAACCAATCTTAACGCAACTTTTGCCGATCGATAGAGAATGAACCAGGAATTCACATGGATCCTAAAAATATGCATTTTCAAAAATCATAGGCGGATACAGATCATTGAGATTGGGGGTACACAAAAAGTATAGTAAATAAGGTTTTTGTTGGTACTGTTTCTAAAAAGGGTGGCAATGGTCTTGTTATGTTACAATTTTCTTATGAGAAAACGACTAAAATTGTATTGGTCATGCATAGGCGGTGTCAGGGCACCTATGTTGGGAGGTAAAAAATAACCCCCCTTTTTGGACGCCTGGATCCGCCTATTATAGCAAAAACGTGTCAAAAGAGGATGCACAATAACTTTGTTATCACATGATACCTTTCATTCACTGTTCGTAAAACTGGTGCAGCATCGTGATCTTCGCCCAATTGACTCGCTTCATGAATAGGACCCCCCCCCATTCCCAGTGCTCTGGAGCCGCCCCTGGTAAAGTTATGAACTTGAAATTTTCAGGAAATGTGCCCAATTTAGTTTTAGGAAAAGTCAGAAAATTTCAGCATCGTTGCTTCAGCGGTTTCGGTGATATTCCCGAAAAACCTGAGGGGTGGATAAAAACAACCCCCCCTGCCACTAATAGGGTTAAAACAATACAAACACACAAGAATAAAACTAGCACAGCAGTCTCACACTCTGTTGAAATACAGCATGCTAAGAATGCGCATTACTACAAATGATAACCTTCGATAAAAACTATTTGTCGGTACACAGCTACTGTTACATAATCATCGACGAGAATAAAAATAGCACACTTATAACGACTCGAACGGTAAGTTTTTAAATCAAGTTTTTAATGCTGAACACTGCTGCTGATTTTGCCCACTTAATAAACCCTACCCTGGTATTGATCGTATCGCTCGTTGTAATAAATGCCGCTTCGGTCGCTCTCCGACATCCCTTGTTCCCACAATTCGTGTGGTAACAGTTACCGTGTGGTAACTGCGACAAATCTTATATTGGAGAAACTGGTAGGGGAATCCAAACACGCTTAAAAGAGCACAAGCGAGACATACGAAACGACGCCGACCACAGTGCCTTTGTTGTTCACGCACATTCCACTAGTCATTTGCCAAATTGGGACGGGGCGAAAGTGTTAGCGAATTGTGGGA